GCGACACCGCTTCGTCGGAAAATTTTACTAAATATATGTATTGCTACTGCACGAAAACGGATAAGTAGGATTTTACATAGATTGTGTCTTGGTGTGTTGGTTATGTCCTTGATTTTGCTCTAAGAGGTCAAAGGTTCAAACCTTGTAAAAATGAACTCGTGACTTTTTCTAACTTAAGACTCAACAAAACCAATAGGCTAAGGCTATTTCTCGTCTAAAAGTATGATAATCAAAGTTTCCAGTTCTTATATAAATTTCGACACCGCTTAGAAAAATTCCTGCGTACGTCCTTATTGGTGTGGTCGCGTCGTTCCCTTATTTTTTTTCTCATCTTGCCTTTACATATTATTAAATAATCTTATTTTATCCTTTACTTTACCTTTTTATATAATACTCAATCTACCTCATACTTTACCTTTTCTTTATAATATTATACAAGTTTATTCTTCATATTGTTGGGCATGACATCATGAAACGACGAAAAATAATATAATCTATTCAAACATTGTTTACATCAAAACGACACAGTACAATACAATACAATGCAATGCAATACTATACGATACGATACTGAAACGATACATAACAACAATGAGATATCTTCTAAGGTTCGTATTTTGAAAATATTTAAAATCTTAACAAGGAATGTTTTTTCAATTAATGAGCCTTATATAATGCGAATTTAACCTCTGATTTCTTTGGCTAGTGGGCACACTGCACTCTCAAAATCAGTGTTTGGCCATAAAATTTTCAATTTTCACTTGAAGATGTGTTTTGGAATTTTTCAAAAATTTAAAAAACTCCAAAAAGCTGCTTTTCAAAATTTTCACTTTAGTTCACTCACATAAATTCAAAAACAGACCAAAATTATATTTATGTCCAAACACAACTCTAATTTTTTAATATTATTTTCACTTGAATTTTTTTTTTTTTTTACTTTTTTCTGAAATTATCAAATTCTTATGTCCAAACGCCCACTTAATTTCTCTTTACCTTTTTTGTGCCATAATAATATAAAGAAGCATTACCCTAATTTGGACCTGAAATGGAAATGTGGGGTGGGGAGTGGTTTCAGCAAAATTATTCAGAACGACCCCTCTGTCTAAAATGCACTGAGGAAGGATGACAGAGTGCTTGTCATTGAAATTACAAGCAGACAGAAGAGAGTAAATTTCTTGAATTTTGTATTGATTACATTGTCGTCAGTACTTTTATTTTATTTGGTACGATATCGATATGAGTTGAGCTTAAATAAAGTAGTACAAATTCATATAGTTGATCTTAACTTATTTGGAATCGACGCATAATTATTATGGTTGTACATCCTCATCTGTTATGTAGAATAACAAAAGTTGATATAATGCTCCTCCGGAAGGGGCGGAGTCACGTGGTGTGAAGCGGTGTTTCGTGACACCGTTTTGTCGAAAAAATTTATTAAATATATACAACAATAACGACCCAATGAAATCTCACAAGTGGGGTTTGAAAAGGTAGTGTGTACGCCGCCTCGGCAGTCGGCACTAGGACACCACTTAACATGAAAGTTGGTTTTGGTTTGCTTGTTCATCACTTCAAATTTATTAGAGAAGACATAGGATTGGATCCTATAGGATACTTCTTTTTTTAATTTCATAAATTTGGCCTTTCTCCTTGAAAAGTATTGAAACAAACAAGGATTGAACCTTCGATCCCTTATCCGAAATGGCAACATTAAACCACTTGAATTGGCACATAATTATTGAAAACAAGTAATATAAAACCATTCTAGAATGGGATTATTCGAATCTATAAGCCTTAAATTTGGAAAAATTGTTCGAGCAACTGCAATAGTTTACTTGAATTGTATTTCTTTATATATGATGTCATTATAGTGATTTTTTTATTTGTTAACTTTTTTAAATATCGACACCACTTACAAAAAATTCTGCATACGTGCTTGTCCTCCGGCTCTCTCTTTCTACTACTTGGTAGCAATGAAAAATGATAATATGAAACTCAGACAACGACTACTGAAAACACTTATATTGTCCGACTAATATTTTCTTATATGATTGTATGGGTCAGAATTCGACCCCACGATAATTAACGAGGCTAATCCCGTTTTAACTTAATTCATGATTAATTAGTGGCACGACCATTCAGAATTGACAATGTTCAGCCCGCATCTGGTTCGATCGACAAGGCCATGGCCTATCCGCACCATAAAGGCGAGATCCCAACGTGGTCACGGCCACTTATTGCCAGCTCACGAAGCTCACAGCTATAAATACCAAGAGAGGGAACCCTAGAAAAGGGGGGGGGGGGAGCTTCTTCGTGACCACTATTGAGAGAGAACAAAGGGACAACAATACCCAAAATTATGGGCAAGAGGAACACCATTGTAAGGCTCTGAACCTCTCCATGGAGAGGCAGACCAAACCAATATTATCAATAAAGGTTTCTAATGTTTCTCCCCCTAATCCTGAGTATTAATTTTTGTTTCCTTCATTTGGTCCAACGGATTATTACGGTTTGCTATGATTTTCCCGTGATTTATATATATTGTTTTATACGTATAAGATGTGTGATAACTTTTGAGCAAACAATGATCTTAAACAATTTTCACGTCTTGATCTATATAAGTTCGCGTTGATTTAGGCTCAAATTCACTTTTTAAGATGGTATATCATAACATTGTTATTTGTTCAATGTTGAGCACTTATAACTATATTGTTTTTGCGCTCCAAAATTCCAGCCTTTTATGTGCACTTTGTTTTTCTTTTTGACAGTTATCTACAAAAAAAGAATCACACAATCCATAACAAAAAGCATGATGGACTGTAAAGCTTTTAAATTTTAACGATCAAAGGTACTCTCTCCCTCCAAAATAAGTGATTTTTTGGTCTTTTATTTGTGGTCCAAAATAAGTGATTTTTTCAGATTTCAAGAATGAATTAATTATTTTTTTCCTACATTGTCCTTGGAGTAAATAGTGTTGGAATATATGTTAGGAGTGTTTATGTGAGATAGTAAAGGTCAATATGGTCAATTCTATTGCTAATTAATGCTAAAAGGTGTATTTCTTAATTTGTGTGAAAACATCCAAAAAATCACTTATTTTGGACCGGAGAGAGTAACTACATTTTCCCAATGGCATACCAGAACTTTTCGTAAGCGATGTCACTATTTGAAAAAGTGAAAAAATAAATAAACTAATGTATCAGTGCAGTGTCATTTTTTATATTTATACCCAATATTTTAATTTTATTTATTATTTATATATACAGATTACCAAAAAATTGACGAAGCGGTATTACATGACACCACTTCAAGGAAGGTGCCTAAGCCCTTGCATTTTCCAATGAAGGGGAAAAGATTAATTATTTTCTCCTAATAATACCAGAGTTAAGTAGTCTCTTATTTTCTCGTGCAAGATTTTTAATGACTGCTCAGTTAATACTACTAGGGACCAAAGTAATTCGAGTTTCCTTAGATATTAATAGAGGTCTCACTACCGATGGTTGTAATGGATGAATACGATGTTCGAGCCGTGTGAATAAAAATAAATCATAGTAGGAAGTTTCCTCCTTTAATGAGCTTTATGCAGTTTGAAAATGTGAATATGGACATCAAATAGGAAATCAAAACAATTGGCAGTAACTCGTACACAAAACAAGGCAGTTATTTTTCACTTCAAAAAGTAAATGCTGAAACAACATTTATTTCAGACTTGAAAGTACTCAAGACATTTTACACAGTACTCACCACATAAATATAATGGACCGTATATAACAGATTCCACATGATAAAACATCAATCATGTAAACAAAGAAACTCTGATGTAAATGAAACTTACTTTATTCAGTACTACGGATTACCAAAATCTTCACACCTACTACAACAATATCTTCTTTTTTGCCTTGGGAAAACCATATATTAACACAGCACATGCAACTATTATTTCAAAAGATTTTAATTTACACTTACTAACCCATTCTCATTCTCATATATTTTTCAAAAAATGGTCACAGTTTGCACCGGGATGTGACCTAGTGATTAATAAAGTAAGTGAAATTATTAAAAATTAAAGTTCAAACTCAATAAAGACAAGAATGTCAGAAGATGAATTTTTTACATCTGGCTAATCTTTGATGAACACGATTACCTAATATCTGTGCTGATGGAAGTAGCAAGTACTCGATGAACACGGTCAATTTAACACTACCTTTTTTAAGGAGAAATGGAAGCGGTGATTGCAAAGTAAGGAATCAAATCCCCACCAGCAAGGTAAAAGTTCTGGTAGCCAATCAACCGGGCTATTAAGATTATGCAATTTAGCATTACCTTATAGTCTATGCATTTAACTTCTTATACATATTTTGACTATTTCGTGTACATGTTATCAAACTCTAATAACCCAAAAAAAGAAATTTTATTTTATTTTTTGTTTGTCTCAATCTATATAATAAACTTTTGTTTTTAGTCCAACCCAAGAAGAAGATATAGTTTTTTATATTTAAAAATAATTTAATTTTAAATATCATATTTATCTTAATAAAATAAATTTTAACCACACAAATATTTATCATTCTTCTAGATTATAAGATCTAGAAGTTTTCTTTTCTTTCTTAATTTTCGTAATTGGTCAAATAACAACATATATAAAATGAGATCGATGGAATATTAACATTGCATTGGAGGAAGATGCAGGGTTTTAGGCCTTTATAGCTTTTATAATATTGAAATTTAAAAAAAAAAATTCTTACGTGTAAAATATAGATATCGAATGTGTAAAAATAAATCCACTATGTATAAAAAAGATATGGGGTCATAAAAGTAGGCCACAACGCTCAACGCAGAAATACAGTTGTGAAAGCAGATTCAACACGTGCTTTCCCTGCCCGTGGTTGCAAAACAATCACACTCACAACCCAAACATCATGATTTATGCAAACAAGTCCAACAACTTTACTAAAAACTGAAAGCAGATAGATTCCATAGATTTCAGGTAAAGCAAAAAGCATAGACAAGAACTTCCAACTATTCAATATAAAAATTATTGAAAATTCTACATCATCAAAGTTAGCTAAACAAAAAAATATGAGAAATATTATCCAAAGAAACAAGAGTTAATTAATTCCCTTCATATTTACAGAATCAGAAAAATAAGCTAAACCCTAAAGGTCTATTGTACTCAGCCTTATACTAAGTTTCCGCTATGCGTGGGTCCGGTAAGGGTTAAACCACACTTATGGTCGCCACAAAGGTCTATTGTACGTAGCCTTACCCTGTATTTTTGCATTTCTGCTATTTTCATGCACGGCTCGAACTCGAGACCTCCTTATCACATGACAATAATTTTACTAGTTACAAGCTCTAGGGGAGCTCGGTACACTAACCTTTCGCTATTTGCAGGGTTCGGGAAGTACCAGATCACAAGTGTGTCTTAACCGGGAGAAACTATTTTCATGATTCGAACCCGTAATCTCCTGTCACATAACAAAAACTTTACGGGGGAATGCTTCCTTCAGCCTATGCGAGTCTTGCTACTACCATAATGTCTCTTATTTTCAGCTCCGGCACTAATATTAGAACTACCACCACCATCTTTTTTCTGTTGCGAAGAAGAAGAAAACAGAGGAAATCCAAATACTCCAGATTTTGAAGAAACTCTTAGAGAACATACTGGAACATTTAAAACCGGAGTAACACGAACATTAGCTGAATAAGATCTCTCCATTCCTCCTCCTCCATTTTTATACCTGGCCACTCCACCATTAAAACTGCTTGGACTACTTGAACTTCTTCCTAAATTATGGAAAACAATTTTTCCTGAAGAATTCATGCGCGGACTATCATCAATCGACACTCCACCTCTTGCACTACTGGCACAGATAGTTGGATTTTCTGACGATAAAGCTCTGTGTTTCACTAGTCGAATTCGAGGAGGATTAGTATTAGCAATGTTTTGAGTATTGCTATGGCTAAAGCTACTCGGTTTGTCTGAATCGAGAGAAAGACGAGGAAGATCGTCGTGTTCGTGGCCGGAAGAGGAAGAAGATGAAAGAGATAATCGAGATGAGGAAATTGAAATCGACTCGTAATCGGAATCCTTGACGAGCAAAGGAATGTTAATTAGAGATGAGTCGGTTGAAGAATTTGAGGATTTTGAGCTGCGATTAAGGAAATTAATTTTCAGAGATTTATATGTGTTGTTTGTGCTATTTTTTTTACCTTCTTCTTTGTCATTGTCGTTGTTGTTGCTGTTGTGCTGCTGTTTCTTCAAGCCTAAAAGTTCTCTCCACCGACTCGAACACCTCGGAGCCTTTGGAGAGAACAAACAAGTGTCCGCACGAGAAATGAGATCATTTCTCGTGCGTAGTTTCGGTGTCTCCGGCGATCTGAGCCCGGAGGAAGTAGAGGTGCCGGCCGCCGTGTGGATCGCGGAGAGTTGCAGAGGCACGAGTTTTCCGTCGGAGAAAAGCTCATCGGCGGCCGGTAACATAGTCACTGGATCTTCGAGTCGGAACTCGAAATCCGCCATTTCGTTAACCGGATGTTCTGGATCTAGAACTTCCGGTTTATTCAGAGCAGTTGTCTTCTTGGACCAGACGAAGGACTTGTACTTAGTCGGAGGACAATCGAGAAAATTCTCCGACGAAATGGTGATGTTGTTTAAGCAAGCAGATGAAGTCATGGACTCACAACAGAAAGAAGAAATGTAGCTTTTTGTTTGCAGAAAATGAAAGCGGTGAATTTCAAGCACCTTGAAATATATGCAGTGAGAAAGAGAGAGAAAGTTTTTAGAGAGAGAGAGAAGTTGAGGGAGAGCTAGGGTTTAGAGAGGGGGTTGTGAATAATGTGGAGTTTAGCTGAAGCTAGGCATAGCATATAGCAGAAGCAGCGTAGTGTAGTGACTAGTGAGTCTGGTCCCGCTAGTAGTAGTAGTGAAAATATGGTTGTTCACTCTTTGGGTTGCCCGGTTGGTTTGGAGGGTGGTAATTCATATGGATGGCTTGGGATCGAATCCTCCTTCAATGTCTTTTGGGTAGAATCTGTTCCACGGGACTTGCCTAGTGCGGTTTACATCCCCTGTGTGGTTTGTAGGACTATTACACAGGGGAAGTTTATCCTCTTACCAAAAAAAATATGGTTATTCTCCGTACATTTGATCTTTTTTACTCCTTCCGGACCATAATAAGTGACCAATTTACCTTTTATTTTAGTCCAAAATAAGTGTCCATTTATATAATCAAGAAAAAATTCAATTTATTTTTCCAAAATTACTCTTATGTACGTATTCTTAAAAGGTCTTTTACTCCTCACATTAAGTTATGCCACAACATTTAATTAAGGGTAGTTTAGTCACACTAACTATTTTTGTCTAGAATTTAGTATTTTCTTAATGGGTGTGCCCAAGGCAAATTGATCACTTATTGTGAACCGGAGGGAGTAATAATTGTGGTATCTGGATCAACTTGTGTTGTATTTAAAATGATTTTCCGTCCATTTTTTTTAATAAGCATACTATTCGGGCATATTTTATGTGATATTTATACATTATGCCCTTTACAATTAATAATTTAAGAAAATGACCTTTTTAGATCTCTTATGTGTAAAAGACAGAATTCTTATACGTAAAAGTAAGAGGATGTTTGGCTAAGATTTTAAGCTAGTCAAACTGGCTTATAAGCACATTTTAACTTATCTGCGTGTTTGGCAAACATCCAAAGTGCTTATAAGTCATGTACTTATAAGCTAAAATCAGTCATAAGTCATAAGTTGGTGACTCCCAACTTATGGCTTTTTAGCTTATAAAGATTTTTAGTTTGACCAAGGCTTTTACTAGTTTATCCTTAATAATATTTTTTTAATTCACAAAATATATTTTCCAAAATAATTTTTTTTAACTTTCTATTCAATTCGTAGTTCTTCCTTTTCTTTACAAAGAAACTTTTTAATTTACAATCTTTTGTAAAGTTTGTAAGAGTATTTTAGTCATTTTAACAAAATAATAGCTGATTTGCTACCAAACACATCAACTGCCTATTATCAGTTTCAGCACGTCTATCCAAACACGTAAATACTTATTTTAAAAATCAGTTTTAGTACTTAAAAATATTTTTCAGCACTTCAAACTTGTCAGCTATTTACAATCCGGTAATCCAAACGACTCTAAATCTTTCATGTGTAGAAAAAGAAGGTAAGGTCAAAAAACTAAAAACAAGTTTCTAAAGAGCCACAAAACCAATTGACCCCATTTTTATTTTTATGTACATATCAACTAATTCCGTAAGGTATTTGATATCTCCAACCACCATAAATGACTTTGTCTACTAAGGCTAACACTTTATTTAAAATAATTCCCTCTCCATTTCATTAATACTTTATTAAGAATAATAACATCTTCTTATATTAAAATATTATTTAATTTTAAATATCTATTACCACAAAATTTTCATTAATTTTAAAAAAGAAATTTCTTTTTTAACTTTCATATTCAGCTAATTTACGTCACATAAATTAAAACAGTAAAATAGAGTGCATGGGGTTAATGGTTGTTTAAACAAATGGAGAGATGACACGTGGATATTTAGTCAAAGAAAGGGATGTGACTTGAAATTTTTTGTTGAGAGGGACTAAGGGAGAATCGAAAAAAGAGAAAGAAAAAGGAAAAAAGAGAATTAGCTTAAATTAGAAGAGGGATGGTTCTTGGAAGTATCTGAATGTGAATAAAATATAAATGGACAAGTTCTGACCTTATATTTTGGTTTTAATAATTCTCAATCAACGTGCTATGGAATAATTTTACCCACTTTCCAAGAGTTCTTTTAATTCCAAGGTAAAACTCGCATCTTATCTGCCATAAATCATATTTTAACAATTGTAAATACTAAATTATTTTAATATTTATAGATACTCTCTCCTAGGGGTGTTTATGGTACGGTTTGGATCGGTTTTTTCCTAAAAAGAAATCAAACCAAGTAAGTCGATTTTTCAAATATTAGAACCAAACCAAACCAATTAAGTCGGCTTTTCCTCGATTCGGTTTATGTCGGGTTTTGTCGGTTTTTCGGTTATTTGTCGATTTTTTCTTAAATATAAGACATACATTACCAAAGACATATTCCGGCGACCACATTTTCAACGTAACACCATCAATTGCCCTTTGAGAAATCTATTATTTACCAAGATATATTGATGATAATTTAATCAAATAGTGATGAATAATTTAAGGACTCAATTAAAAATATATTATTTTTAACACGAAATGGATTCTTACACTTAACAAAAGAAAACTACCAATCAAACTAGAATGTAAAGGTAAAAAACTATACAAAAAGTGCAAACTATTAACTTTTCCCATAAATTTTTTGAAACTTTATATAAAAATATACATATATATAAGTATAATAATAAATTTGAAATAGCTAATCCTATAGTCGGTTTGGTTCGGTTTTTTTTCTGATTAAAACCAAAACAAAATCAAATTTGATCGGTTTTTAAAATTCAAAACCAAAACCAAACCAAACCGAAAATATCGGTTTTTTTGACCGGTTTGGTTTGGTTCAGTTTTCGGATTTTTATGAACACCCCTACTCCCTCCGGTCCAAAATAAGTGATTTTTTGGCCTTTTACTTGCTGTCCAAAATAAGTGATTTTTCGAGATTTCAAGAATGAATTAATTATTTTTTTTCCTACATTGTCCTTGGAGTAAATAGTGTTGGAATATGTGTTAGGAGTGTTTATGTGAGATAGTAAAGGTTAATATGGTCAATTTCATTGCTAATTAATGCTAAAAGGTAAATTTTTTAATCTGTGTGAAAACATCCAAAAAAATTACTTATTTTGGACCGGAGGGAGTACTAAAGATCAGTAATTATAAATGTTACTTTGGTTATCAATATTTGTAAATAATAAATTCTATTATTCAAAATATTAGTGAAATGCTATAAAAGTTGTTCGATCAATGTTTCAAAATTTAGACCTCATGGCTCGATTGGTAGACGGTGCTATTATTATTTTTGACGGCGTAATCTTTTCTTTTTCACTTATGTTAATGGTGGAGAGGTCGCACTTCTGCTTTGGCTCCGGAGGTGGATCTTTCTTTTGTCAACTATGATCAAAGGTGGACTCAGAATTTGAGTGCAACGGGAGCATACTGTCTTTGGATATGTAATTACTAATGACAAATTTGGGTGTCCAACTCTTTGAGATAGGATATGGTTTGGAGCTTTTGATTTTGAGGGAGGGATTTAAAAAAGAATAAGAACAATTTAGTTGATTTTATGATCAAATATTAAATGATAATTGAATTTAAAAAGATAAACTAAAACAAATAAATCAGTTTGATTACTCGATCCCGAGACATCAAGCGCGAGTACAAGGCTTCAGCAGTATACTCAACCAACTTTACTATGAGGCCTTTTGTGACTTTGGGGGCACCCGTAAAATATTTAACGGGTCCTTCATGTATATACCTATATACACTAGTGGCGTACGCAGAACTTTTCGCAAGTGATGTCACATCTAAATAAATGAACCTATAAACAAATTATTATTGTTATTGTTGTATAAATAAAAAGCAAAGTTAAACGCATTGATGCAATTTTAGTGTTCAAAAAAGAAAGATAAAAAAGCTAAACAAAAAGCTACATTTGTCTCAAATAAGAAGATTGAACTTGGCACGATATGTTCATTTTCAGGCTAGGGCAGCATATTCTAGAGGGGTGAGCAGTCCAGCCATTTCTAAATTAATTTGCTAAATTTAATATATAAAAAAACAAACATTATTATTCAGCTTAGAGGATCGAACTCGGGAAGGGAAAATGGATTGGATCGAGAGGCGATGCTTATGCCTCTTCTTTATCGATAGGATTCCCATCATTTTCAGTCTACGGCGAAGGAGACAAGGGCGAGGCACCGAACATATTCTACCCATTCGGATCGATATGAGAGTCCAACTACATTGTCAGAATCCATGTTGTATATTTGACAGAGGTTGACCTCCTTGCTTCTCTCATGGTACACTCCTCTTCCCGCCGAGCCCCTTAGGGATCAGATATCGATATCGGAAGATCAGGCCCATCACTTCTTATTGACTTTGATGATTTGCCTGCAGGAGGATCATCGAAGGTTGGTCCATACCACGAAACAAGCAAAGATCTAAGGCTTTCTTTGCTCTGCCCCTGGGCCCGAGAACGTGTGGTTTCTGAACCCATTAAGATGACCCAAGAATTTCGCTATTTCGAGTTTGCTAGTCCTTGGGAACAGCGTAGCGACGGATAATTCAGAATCATAATAGGTCCAGTCAATAAGATTGCAGATTTTACCACCGCGCTGGAGAATGCCTATGTTTCCAGTGGTGTCACCTAAATAATTTCAAAAAAATTTAATGTTCAGATATCATTTTGACACATATATTTTCCGACGAAGCGGTGTCACGTGACACCGCTTCACTCAATATAAATCCGCCCATGATATACACAATATATATATATATATATAGTGACTTCGCCGCATATATATATGTATAGTGACTTGTCCCCATATATATATATATATATATAAATATATAGCGCGGGCTTTGTCGGAAAATCTACAAAGCCCGCGCTACAACTTGATAGCAATATTTGGATAACAGTAACTTGAAAAGTGTTGGGAAAGACCACTTTTCACTTGTACTTTGTCTTTTTTTGTGCTTTTCTTTTTCTTGAACCACATGACAATAAGTGACCAAATACAGATAATTCTACATATTAAATCCACTATAATCGATGAAAATTAGAATTTTAAATTTTATGAGTCCAACTTGTAATTAATTTTTTAGCAATTAATTTGTTGAACCATTATAATTAGGTATTTTGATCTGATATTTATTGATATTTAATAAATTTTATATATG